ACACACACACACACACACACACACACACACACACACACACACACACGCATACACACACACACGCACACGCAAACACACACGAACACAATAAGCACGTGCGCACGGATACACAACCGCACACGTACGCACACATACGTGCACACACGCACACGCGTACGAACCCGAACACACGAACGCACCAACAAGCACATACGCACGCAGATGCACACACACGTACGTACGCGCGCACACACACAAGCAAAACGCACGCACGCGCACACACACCAGCAAAACGCACGCACGCACACGCACACGTGCGCGCGTACACACATGCAACACACATACGTACGCCCGCGCACGCACAGGAACGAAATCCCGTGTGCACTCACGCACGTACGATGGTGCCCCTCCCCCTCCCTGTAAGCTCCTGTCTCTCATTCCCTCTCTTTCGCGCGCACATGATTCTCCTTACGTTGCTCGTCACTTTCTTTAGCCCCCCTTATTACACCCCCCCCTATTATTAGACCCCCTTATTACGACTCCCTTATTACACCCGCTGTACCCCGCCGGTTAGCGAGCCGACGGAAAACAACAAGATAACAGCTATCATTGACCGTTTATATTGGCGCACGTTGCGCGCAGCTCTCTCTCTCTCTCTCTCGGCTAACGCTCCATTAAGAGCGTTCCCAATAAGTCATTAATATCGTGATATAAAAGAGATGTTAAGGAGGGGGCGGATCTATATAAAAGAGATGTCAAGGGGGGGTTAGACATTAAATAGATATCAAGAGGGGGTTAGATATAAAATATATATCAATGGGATATGAAAGTCGGCGCTTCATTTGAGTCTGATCAAAGCGAGCTTGAAAGGAAGGCGTTGATCTTCCAAGTGAAATGTTTGCTTCGTTTCGCTCGCCTTCGCTGCTCGAGCAAGCGAAATACAGAGCGGGGGCATGTTCGCTTTGTGTGTGTCTTCCCTCTCTCTTTCTCTTCCTCCCCCTCTCTCTCTCTCTCTCTCTCTCTCTTCCCTTCATTTCTTTTCTTTTTTACCCGCTCTCAATAGCCCCTGAGGCCCTCAGGCCCCTCAGGCCCTCAGGCCCTCAGGCCCTCAGGCCCTCAGGCCCCTCAGGCCCCTCAGGCCCCTGAGCTCAGGCCCTGTCACACTAGAGC